GGTGGCAAAGAATTAGAAATTGAGGGAATGCTCATCAATTGGGGAATGGCTGAACAAGTGGTATATGAATGTAATGGAATACTTTTTTCAGTCTTTTGACTTTGTTTTAATATTTCTCATTGTTTCATGAAGGTATTAACTTCTGTTTGGTTCATTCTAATTTTCAGGGAGTTTGTTCATTGGGCAATGTTTTTAACTTCTTATGCCAAACTGTTAATTCTCTTTTCAATTCTTTCTTCTATAGCTTTAATAGTTTTTTAAATTGTTTTTTCTCTAATACTCATTTCCTAAGGGGAAAAAAACCATTTTAAACTTTCAAAAATTCTGTCTTCATTTCTTCCAGAAATTTTAGTTAAATTTGTGTCCAAGCCGCATTTTTCTTTAAGGCTTTTACTTGTGGATGTTTTGGAGTCATTCTCTTCTTCTGGGTTTCTGTCTTGAGCATGTTGTCATCATAATAGGTTTTTTTATGGTGAGATGATTTTTTGTTTGCTCATTCTTCCAGCCTACTTTATGACTTTAGACTTGATATTAGGGCCAGACCCTGTATACTTCTGGAGGGAAAGTATCATCTGGTCTTTTTGCTACTTTCTTGGAGTATTGATTGTTGCATTGTTCCAGAATTTCAGAGACAACTCAGTCTAGAAACTTGTAAGCTTTAGGTATTCTCAAAGTGGTCTGATCCAGGATAAAGTGTGATTGTTGCTCCCTGTCCTTGTCTGAGCTCTGCAATTTCCTGACCTGTGTTTGGATGTGAATAGCAGTATACAGACTGGGAAGCTCTGTTGGTTCAGTGACAGAAATACAGGTTCTCCTTTGGTCTGGAATTCCTTCCATCTATAATCTTCAGAGACACACTACTACTGCTTTCTACTGAACCTACTCCTCCCTTGGCACACAGTATAGGACCTGCTCTCAGACTGGAATGGAAAGAGAGATCAGGGCCCTTCCTCAGCCTGACCTGTATCTATAACCCAGAACTGGGTAGTAGTGGGTGACAAAGCTGCCAGTTGGCATCAGTCCATGTCAGTGAACCCCAGTATGGGTCTTGGGGTGCCCAGTATGGTTCTGGGAACTTTTGCATTAGTATAAAGCTGTGTGCTGGAGTCCTTAGCCTATAATGTGCTTTGTACCAGACTCCATCCCCAGTGTCTACATACCTATTTGTCTTCCTGTGTCAAACTGGGCTAGAAAAGTGACTCACTGTGACTTTGTCATGAATTTCAGGTACATTTTCTAGATCTTTTGGTGAGGGAGCAAAGTTACTTTGTGTTTTGGTGTTCTAGGCAACTCTCTAAAAGGACAAAAAAGGGGCAGCTAAGTGGTGAAATGGATAGACCACTAGCCCTGAAGTCAGGAGGACCCGAGTTCAAATCCGGCCTCAAACCAAATACTTGACACTTACTAGCTGTGTGACCCTGGGCAAGTCACTTAACCCCAATTGCCTGACAAAAAAGAAAAAAAAAGTCTGAGAGAAAAGAACTTTCAGAGAACCCCCAAAAGGAGACTTGAAAGGAGAGCTGTCCTTAAATTAAAAACTGTCCTTAGGAGAGAATAAAACCCATGGAAACAGAAGAATCCCTGTCAAAGGACTCAGATTTCTCAATTGTCTTTACTTTCCCATATATAGGCAATTGTCTTCCCTACCATCTTGCTCTTTTTAGTATTGTAATCTGTATCTTTACAAATCTAGAATCATAGATTTGAGGCTGGAAAGGACTTTAGAGTTCACCTATCTCTGGAGTTCTTAGCTTCTTTTTGGTCTCATGGGTTCTTTTGGCAGTTTGATGGAGTCAATGACCCCTTTTCAGGATAATATCTTTAAATCATTGAAATAAAATAAAATAAAAAAAGAAAGAAACCAATTCTATTGAAATCATTATTAAAATATTTGTGAAAACAAGTGCACAGACCTCAGGGGATGAATCCCTGATTCCTAGCTCAGCCTCTTCATTACAGAGAAGACTGTTCTGGAACCCAAAGAGTTTAAGTTACTTGCCCAAGATTATCTGGATAGCAAGTGACAGAACTAGGACTGAAACCCAAGTCTTCTCAGCCAGCCTCTAATTTTGCTGCTTCTATGAGACCAGACTAGTAAGCAAAGTCATGGCCACCAAAGGTAGCATTTCATGGAATGTCAAGAAGCAGTTGGTGGAAGAGAAACCATTGGTTTCTTAGGGGCATCTGCTTCAGTTCATCAAACGATTTGAGAAAAATAGTCACTCTTGAAAGTCACATGGTATGCTTTGTGTTTTAGTACTTTACTTTGAAACATGACATAAGAGTACTATGTGAGATTAGTGAGAGAATGAATGGGGAGGTGGACATTAGGAAGACTTTCCTTCCAAATATGGATTCCAGACACTTAACAGCCTGCTTATTTTCATGGTTAGCTTGTTTTCTTTGTTAACTTTTATAAAAAAGTCATTGTCTAATGGTTTTAAATGAAAATTTGTCAAGAAAGCATTTTGAGACTGGTTAAGAGAATCTGAGACAATCTGGATCTTGAGTTCTGTAAAGTGTTAGCTACAATAATAAGCAGGAATGTTTTTTGAGAAAACATTCATTAACATTATTTAGGATTATAGATTGTTAGAACTGGATGGGATCTTAGAGATTGGCTAATCTAACCCATCATTTTTCAGTAAATCCAAAGAGACAACTTTTAAAATTTAAAATCAATTTGGTTGAAATACTTAGTAGATAATTTCTCTTTTGAAACAGAAACTAAAATGTTAGTATTTTTATTTATCCCTGGTGATCTTGCATTTTATAGCACTTTAAAGTTTACAGAAATTTGTTATATCTATTGCATAATGAGGCAAATGGAATTCAGAAAGAGTAATTGACCTGGGCAGCATTTAATTGAAAAGGTATCATGGTTGCTCCCACTCTTCAATCCCTATGATTTAATGGATTGTAAATAATCAAACAATCATCCAGGCATGGAAATATAAATATATATTTAGGCTGTTATTTTAATGAACTTTTCTCTTGAAAAGCACATACCAAAATTAAAAAAAAACCCACACATTCATCAAACTATGGGTACCATTTTTTTTCATTAGTGTTGAAAACTATCGGTAAGGAATGAGGAACTTTCTTTACCACTACATATCCTCATCTTCTCTGTAATTTAAACTTTTAGAGAATTCTCTGTGCACTGGGTGGTTATGACCTGCACAGGTAACAATGATTATGTAGAGACAAGATCAGAACTCAGGTCCTTCTGGTTCTAAGAGCAGCTCTCTACTCACTATGCCAGGCTTCCTGTCAATGTGACAATTGTATTAAATTTGTTATTGCCCCAAAGGCAGTTATTATATTGATTTTTCTTTTCCAAACTTTTCCAAAGCCAAAATATGACTTAAATTCTCTATAATGTAGCATATCTGGGGACTGGAGTGAAGTAGAAATTGAAAAACCTAAAAATTCCTACCCTTTGTCCTTTAACATGCTAAAAATTCTAATCTAGGTGAAAACTGGCCTAATCTTCATCCTTTAACCCCAACCATAATTAGTAATTTGGCACTTAGAGCAATTCAGTTAGGGAGACACAAAGACCCCAGGATACTAGGAGCATAGACCATGAGGCTGTAGGCTGTGGAGGCTAACACTAGGGGAATAAAAAGGAGATAAGCTGGAATTTGGCCAAAAAAGACAGCTCTCAGATAACCTCCTATTTTAATTAATTATTCTTGCTAACTAGGTGCTAAACCCAATGGTTTCTATACCATAGAGTGCAAGTGCTATTAGTACGCTCTAAATTTCAGCACCCTGAAACAAACTACTGGTTGTTCCACCCTAGTTACAGCCCTGCCTCCTCCTTTAATTAGTACTTATACTCAAATGGCCAATAATGAGATATTTTTTAAAACAGAAAGAGTTCCTGAGAAACACTTATCAAAATTATGCTACTCAGGTATAGATATAGTATAGATATAGATATAGACATAGACATAGATAGATAGATAGATAGATAGGTATATGACTGAATTTGTAGCAACTCCAGCCATTTCTAAGTAATCATGTAGGCTATTTCACAAGCAGATATCAATCAGTACAATTAGACTTTGGGTAAAAAAAAAAGCCAATGTCTATATGCCTGAAGGGAAATTAATTCAGGCTAGATGGACCTCAGTTTCCTATTATAAAATGTGGAGACTGAATTGGATGTTTTCTAAGATTGCTTCCAATTCTAAAATCTATGGTTCTATGATACTAAGTATTTTGGGATAATTCTAACTAGTATGAAAGATAAATTCTGGAAGGATATGTTACTATAAAGACTTAAGAAAATTTTAGTTTCCTTGTGCAAAATCTTTAGTTTCTGACTGCTTCAAAAATCAGAGCTAAGTCTGAGATTCTAGAGTTTAGAAATTCTTGGAACTTGGAGGTTGCTCAAAAAAATTAAAAGCAGATTAAATGGATATGGAGAGTTTAAAATGAGTTTGCTTTGAGCAATATATTTAAATCAAAATAGTAGTGTATTGGGGTATCTAGGCGGTGCAGTAGATAGAATGTCAGGCCTGGAGTCAGGAAGACTCATCTTCCTGAGTTCAAATCTGGCCTCAGACATTTACCAGCTTTGTGACTGTGGGCAAGTCACTTAACACTTACCTCAGTTTCTTCATTTGTAGAATGTTCTGGAGAAGGAAATGGCAAATCACTCTAGTATTTTTGCCAAGAAAACCCCAAATGGAGTCACAGAGAGTCTAAAAACAACAGTAAGACAACAATGTAGTGGGTTTTTTTTTTTATCAAAGTAGGATTCTTCTAAAATATTACATATATTACATAGAAAATGTTCTTGGTCATTTAAATTTCTTGTGATATAAATTTCTCAATAAAAAATACTGTGGAGGCTTTTCCTTTTTTCTGTGAGAAAAGAGAACATTTACAGCATTATATTTCTTGGGGTAATGAAGATATTTGGTGAGATAAGTAAGTTGCTAGTAGACTCAAAGGACTGAACGTTCATTCCTTTTTCCTCATCTTAGGTGTGGGCTTTACTGTTATCCTCATATCCCTTTATGTCGGGTTCTTCTATAACGTCATCATTGCCTGGGCTCTCCATTACTTTTTCTCATCCTTCACTATGGATCTTCCCTGGATACACTGCAATAACACGTGGAATAGCTTGAACTGCTCAGACACTCGTTTTTCCAACTCCAGTGACAGCTTTGACATCAATGACACTTATAAAACCACTCCTGCTGCAGAATATTTTGAGTAAGTAATAGCGTGGCTGGTTCTGGGAGCAAAACACTTCATTTTCCTCTTGTGGAAACAGGAAGGTGTGACAAAATGGGACAGTCCCTAAAATAATTCTCACCCTCAGTCCCAACTTGATTTCTTAACTGCTATTAGCTGGTCCTTAAATTTCCATTGCTACCACTTAAGGAATGGCACAGTGCATAGAGTGCAGGGCCTGGAGTCAGGAAGATTCATCTTCCTGAGTTCAGATCCAGCCTCAGACACTTAATAGTTGTGTGACCCTAGGCAAATCACATAACCCTGTTTGCCTCAGTTTCTGTAAAATGAGCAGGAGAAGGAAATGGCAAACCACTCCAGTATCTTTGCCAAGAAAGCTCCAAATGGGGTCACAAAAAGTTGGACATGACTGAACAACAAAGGAATATTTCTCCTCCAAAGACTGTTCCTCTGGATTCACAGCCTTTCCCCATATTCTCCAAATTGATACTATCCTTTCTCTTACCATGTTCAAGATAGTCATTGATTAGTTTATCTTTTTGCCCCCACAGTTTTCTTGTGTGTTTTTTCTTTTTTTTAAATGATTAATTTATTTTTAATTTTCAACATTCACTTCCATAAGATTTTGAGTTTTATATTTTCTCCCCTCCCTCTCCTCCTGTGCTTTTTTCTTTTCTTTTTTTTGCTTGTTTCTTTTAAAGAAAATAGCAATCTCTATTTTAGCTCATTATAAATATGTCACCTTGACCAATTTTCTGGCGAGAGGTGAAATGTCAGGATTGTTTTGATTTGCATTTTTATTATTACTAGCGATTTGTAACATCCTTTCACATGGATACTAATAGTTTGTAGCTTTTCTGTGAGCTGTTTCTGTGAGCTGTTTGCCCATTTCTCTTGAGGAATGACTTTTGGTGGTATATTTCTATTACTCGTCTTTACATCTGTGACAGCAAATATTTATCAGAGATATTTGATATAAATATTTTTCCTAGTTGACCTATTGACTTCTTATACAAATTACATTGATTTTGTTCATGCAAAATATTTTTTATTTTTTGTGTAATCACAATGATCTATTTTAACTTCTGTAATTGCTTCTATCCCTTGTTTGGTAAGGGATTCCACACATACACACATACACACACACACCCCACCTATATCTATTCCTCTTACAGATTCTGATGATTTTGAATTTATTGTGAAATGCCTGTTTTCTAGTTTCCACAGCAGTCCTTGGAAAACTAATAGTTGCTTAGTTGCTTTCCTAAGTAGTTTATGTTTGGGGATTTATCATATACTGGATTATTGAGTTCAATTATTTCCAGTTCTTCTTTTTCTACTCCATTCCATTGATCTACTTATCTTTTTTTTTTAAACAGTACTGAGTAGTTTTGTTATTTACTGCTTTATAATATTGTTTGAGATCTGAAAATGCTGTCCTACCTTCATTATTACCTTTAACAAATATTTATCTTGATAATCTAGATTTTTTACGCTTCTAAATGAATCTTGTTATTATCTTATCTAACTCTCTCAAGTGTTCTTTTGATAGTTTGATTAATATAGCCCTAAATCTGTAAATTAACTTTGTTGGTAATGGCAATTTTATTAAATTGTCAGAGCCCAGCCATGAGCACCGAATATTTCTCCATCTGTTCCATCTAGTTAAGTTGTTCTTTATTTCTTTAGTGAACATTTTATGTCCATGCAATATTGAATTGCTTTGGTAGATTGATTCTCCTTTTTTTTTTAATTTTATGGTTATTTTGAATGGGATTTCCACAGGAATACTGTGAGGTTCAAATGAGATAATGGATATAAGGCACCTTGCAAACCTTAAAACACTATGCAAATGCTAATAATAATAATATATTAATATATACTTATATAATAATAATAATAATTATTATTATTATTATTGTTAGCCTACGGTCACTAGGTATCCAGTATGGTTATGACTTCATTCTCTGTGCCTTCTACCTACCACTCCTGTTGAGCTCAAGCAATGTTTATAGAACAATCAGGGGCATACTGGTAAATGTTTAATAACTGAGCTCTCAAAAAAAAAAAGTATGCACGTACTTTTAAGTATAATCTATGTTATTAACACTTTCTTAAGTCTAAACAATCAACAAAAAAATAAATCATACCTTGATTTGTAGTGACTGCCAATTTCTGAGGTACAAATGTTCACACTGAAAATTTAATAATTAGTCAATTAGAGCCAGCCCCAGCACACCCCTGGATTTACATGTCTATTACTACTCCTTGATTTTTGTTTGCTATATGACAATACTATTGCTTTTTGTGGATTTATTTTGTGGACAGCAAGTTTACCAAAGCTATTTTGACTACAGTCTAATAACTTGTTAATTATTATTTTTGAGAGGGAACTAGATGCATTAGTGGATAGAACACTGAACTTCCAAGTAGGAAGACTTGAATTCAAATCCAGCCTTAAACATTTACTAACTGTATGACCCTAGATAAGTTATTTAACTTCGTTGGGTTTTGTTTCTGCATCTGTGAAAATAAAAAGTTCAAGCTCTAAATCTATGACATTATTGTCTCAAATAGTTTCTTTGCTAATTACCTAATATTTTTCTAAGTAAATCATAGTATCAAATAAGACTTATTTTGTTTCCTCTTTGTCTATTTTTATGCCTTTAATTTCTTGCTTTTTTCTTATTGCTATTACTGGTATAATTAGAAATGAATCAAATAGCTGCACAGTGAGGGGACATTTTTGCTTTACTCTTGTATTTACTGGAGAAACTTCTATGTTGTTTATCACTGGACTTATTTAATTTAACCACTGTTGTCATAGAGTTTGAAGCATAAAGATTGTTGGGGTTTTTGGGGGGGTTTGAGCTAATCTATGGATTCTTTTTATTAATACTTCGTTTTTGAATTCAAAAGTTCTGTGCAGTTTTCTTGTACTGTTGCCTTCATTAGGCTGTTCAGGGATTTTGATTTGTCATGTTCTTCTGAGAGAACTTTGAATCACTTAAGTGGTCTCTTTGCCTCCTTTCTTTGAGATCTATGGCTTTGCCTTGTAGAGAGATCATGTGTTCCTTTAATGATATTGTCCTTTGCTTCCCTTCTGCCACATTTTCCTCCACCTTAGTGTTTTGTAATGCAAATCTGTTTCTCTCTCTTTTCCTTCTTTGGTGAAGCTTTCTACCATTGATTTGATTTTTCTAGTTTTCTAATTGAGGTTTTTTTAAAATTACTCTCTCTCTCTCTCTCTCTCTCCATATACATATGTATGTGTGTGTGTGTGTATATATATATATGTATATATATATGTGTGTATATATATATATATATATATATATATATACACACACATATATATATATACATATATATATATACACACACACACACACACATATATACACATAAAACTTGTCACACATTCATTACTAATTTCTTAGGATTTCAATGCACAAATAGATTTTCTTTTCCTTTTGAATAATTTTGAAATTGTTTGTGTTGTTTCATGATCTCTTAGGATTCCACAGGATTCATCAGGCATTGATTCACTTTCCTTTGTATTGTAATATTTGTTGAGAGCTCTGTAGTCTCTTTGAGTGTTTAATGCTCATCCTAGTTTTAGTATCTATTCTGTTATTTATCTGCTTGTGCTCAGGGTTTTTACTGAGTTTTCTTCCTCATAATCTTTAATGTTTCAGCCTTTTTCCCTTATTTTTTTCCATCACTCCTTTCCTGACTTCTTTTCCTTTGCTGGTGCATCACTGAGACCAGATTACAAAATTGCATCACTCTCTTCCCACATTGGATGATTTGGGTTTTACTGGCCTTGGTTCTAACTACCCTTAGTAACCTGTGGAAAGAAAGTACTGGCTCCAGTCAGTGTTTTTTCTCTCCCAGCACAGCCACTCATGTCATCTCAATTCCTCTCTTGGCTATCAACCTTTCCTTCCCCGACTGGTCTGAGTTGGTCTCTGCCACTAGGTTGGGGATTGGGAAAGGGCATGAGGGGTACTCCTGGCAGAATCTCTACATTCCTGGGGTTCTATAACATAATTCCCCAAGTAGGAGATAGCATACTTCCTTTTTCTTCTTCTCATGTGGCTTGACAAAACCAGTGTCTGCTACTTGTTTCAGGGTAGGGGGTGGACAGGGTAGGGGGTAAAAAGTGTGCTGGCAAATCATTTGCAATAAGAGACTATCCAAAAGTAGGCCATACTAGTCTATTTGTGATTGTTTGTCTGTCCCTGCCTGGAGTAGAGAAGCTGGTGGTATGAGACGGCTGCTGACTGAGCATTTTGTAAAGATTAGCATTCTCTATGTTCATTCATAAGGATTTTATCTTGTCCTGGTTCTCTTTATTTTTTGGCCTGTGGATTCAACTGTAATTGTTCTACATTTGGCCTGTAAATTCCCTTTATGACAGTGTTTGAGAGTCAGTGGGGAATGGGGAAACTATCTTCATCTTGTTGGTCTTGTACACAACAAATATTTTAAAAATTGCATCCAATTCCTAGATATCTAAAATACATTAACATAGTGTTGTTTTTTTTTAAACAATCATCATTTGGTCCTAGGAGTTTGGGAATTATCCTTCTCTACAAATGTGTAAATGCTTGGATTTGATCAAAATCTGCATCCATAATATTTTGAGGGATTCAGGGTATTTTTGCAACAGAGAGCTTGAGTGACCTGTTGAAAATTTCATGATATTTGCATTATTCCAATAGAAATCTTCAATTTCTTTGATACTATAAAAAGATGGCATTTCTTTTTGATATTGTACTAATATAAACTGAATGCTATGGTAGGGAGTTCAAGATTCCTGCTGGTCTTGATCCGCTTTTCCAAATGAAAAAGTATGGTTTCTGACCAGGAAGCAACACTAGTTACAAAATATCAAGAATCCTACCACGCCCAAAAATATCTTTTGTCTCCGCTTGATTCCTGTTATATTACTGTGTAGTTTGTTTGAATCAGCTTCCATTGGGTCTGTTTGATTGTATTTTATTAATTGCCAA